AACTCTCTATCCCTCTCCCTTCCTCTCTGTAAAAAAAATCAATAAAAAATATTAAAAAACAAAACAAAACGAAACACACACACACACACACACACACACACACACACACACACACAACGGAACTATCATCAGATCCAGCAATCTCACTTCTGGGAATATATCCTAAGAACCCTGGAACATCCATCTGAAGGAATATACCGTATGCACCCCAGTCTTCATAGCAGCGTCATTTACAAAAGCCAAGATCTGGAAACAGCCCACGTGCCCATCAGTAGAGGAGTGGATACAAAATACTATGCAGCCCTAGCCAGTTTGGCTCAGTGGATAGAGCATCGGCCTGCAGACTAAAGGGTCCTGGGTTTGATTCTGGTCAAGGGCACATGCGTGGGACTGCGGGCTCAATCCCCAGTAGAGGACGTGCAGGAGGCAGCCGGCCAATGATTCTTTCATCATTGATGTTTCTATCTCTCTCTCGATCTCCCTTCCTCTCTGAAATTAAAAAAATACTATGCTGCTGTGAAACAGAAGGAAACCTTGCCATTTGAGACAGCATCGAGGAACTTGGAGATTGTTATGCTGAGCAAAATAAGCCAGCCCTTGTCCAGAATCAACCCCCACCCCCAGCCACGCCCATCCTAGCTGGTTTGGCTCAGTGGATAGAGCATCGGCCTGCAGACCAAAGGGCCCTGAGTTTGATTCCGGTCAAGGGCATGTACCTCAGTTGCAGGCTCCTCCCCGGCTGCGGCCCTGGTTGGGGTGCGTGCAGGAGGCAACCAATTGATGTGTTTCTCTCACATCGATGTTTCTCTCTGTCTTTCCCTCTCCCTTCCACTCTCTCAAGAAAAATCAATGGAAAAATATCCTCAGGTGATGGTTACCAAAAATGCTAAAAACAAAAACAACCTTCCTCCTCCCCCACCTCCGGCCCTTCAGTCCTCAGGCCGATGCTCCAACCATTGAGCCAAACCGGCCAGGGCTGTTCTGGTCTTTTTAAAAGTTTCAGTGTCTCTGGTGAAGCACTCATGTTGTCCATTGTTCTCTGAGCTCGCTAGCTGAATTGCCTGCCTGTATTTTCTCACATCTCCTTGAGTATTTTCCAAACCGCAGCCTTGACTTCTTTGTCATTTGTGTCACCGATTTCCATATCTTTAAGTTTGTTTTCTGGAGATTTTTCATTGTCTTTTCGAGCTGCCTCACTACCTTGGTTACTCCGGGTAGTATTTGATGTGATTTCTTCTCTGGGCATCCATGTACGGGTGGTGCGCTCTAGCCCATCGACTTGAAGATGTCTTTCTTTTTTGTTCCAGTAGGTGGCGCTGGCTCACAAGGTGAATTTTTTTTTTTTTTTTTTTTTTTTTTTTTTTTTAAGCTCTGAGAGCTCGCAGCTCTCACTCGGGTGGGGGTGAATCCCTCCAGGTTCTTTGCTGGTTTAGGCAGGGATAATGGTGGCCTTGGGCCCTTGCCCCGGTGCCCCCTGTGTTCCTGTCGCAGAGCGTACCCTTTTCCTGGGGGAGAGATGTGATCCTGCCATATTAGCTACTGGGCGCGTGTCCTTGGGCACGGAGTGCATGGGCGCCACAGCCCATACCGAGGGCGAAGGGAGGTGAGCGCTGGGAGGCTAAGGGGAGGTGGCCAGGCTGTGTGGCTTTTTTTTCACTGAGTTGTCACAGCCGCTCTCTCCTGCTATGCTCCTGTCCAGTTCTCTGGGCTCAGCAAAAGGGGTGTCAGCAACAACCAGATTCCTCCCCCCACCCACCCCTGGGTGAAGCCTCGCATGCCCTCCCCGCTGCCGGGATCCTTTTCTGGCTGGCTGGGATCCCCCCACTCCCTTTTCACCTCCCCCTTTTGATCCACTAGCCCACCTTTATTTATTTTTTATTAAAAATATTTTTATTGATTTCAGAGAGGAAGGGAGAGGGAGAGAGAGAAACATCAATGATGAGAGAGAATCATGGACGGGCTGCCTCCTGCACACCCCTTACTGGGGATGGAGCTCGCAACCCGGGCATGTGCCCTTGATGGAAATCGAACCCTTCAGTCCGCAAGCCAAAGCTCTATTGCATTGAGCCAAACCGGTTAGGGTCCTACCTTTATTTTTCAATTAAAAAATATTTTGATTGATTTTAGATAGGAAGGGAGAGGAAGAGGGAGAGGGAGAGAGAGAGAGAGAGAGAGAGAGAGAGAGAGAGAGAGAGAGAGAGAAACATCAATAATGAAAGAAATTCATTGACCGGCTGCCTCCTACATGCTCCCTACTGGGGATCAAGCCTGCAACCCGGGCATGTGCCCTGACCTGGAATCAAACCTGACCTCTTGGTTCATGGGTCCACGACGCTCAACCACTGAGCCACACTTTTCCAGCCCAATCGCCCACCTTTAGGTGTGTCAACGTGTGGGTCTCTCAGGCATATCTGTGTGCTGAGCGGGGACTCCTTTGTTGAGATATGGCCGTACAGATGGTTGTAACTTCTAGGGGAGGGACGAAGGGACTCTCTCACGCTGCCATTCCTCTGATGTCGCCTCCCACACTGTCTTAAAAATAGAGCTCTGGCCCCAAACGCCGGGTAGATGTCATTTCGCCTTTGTGGTCAGATGTCGTCAAGGTGGATTCCTCGAGAGAAAGTTGACTCATTATGCAACTTAGGGGGCGGGGCGAAACCATCACCCTTCTCCCGTCAGTCCTTCCTGCCACGTGTGACACGAGTGATTGCTTCCCCACATCCTCCCCGGCGGCCTTTGTGGCCACAATCGGAAGCGCTCCGATCTGATAGGTAGCACACAGGTTCTCCCTGCGGCTTTGGCTAGGCTGGCTTGTCTCATGACTGGATTGAGCATCTGGTTATACGATTGCACATCCTCTGCAAGAACTTGCTGTGAACTGGGGGTTAGTATCTCCTCATTTGCCTCACATTGTGTCCTCGGTCACGGCTTTATTTTATTTTATTTTTTTCAACAACAAACATTTATTTTCTGACAGTTCTGGAGGCTAGAAGTTCAAGTTCGAGGTGTCAGTGAGAGTTTTAGTTTCTGGCGAGAGAGCTCTCCTCCTGGCTTATAAACAGCTGCCTTCTCCCTGTGTCCCCACATGACCTTTCTTTCTTTCTTTTTTGTCTAAAGTTTTACATATGTCTCCTTTTCCCCCAATTGACCTGCCATTCCCACCCCGGGCAAGCCCCCACCGCCCCAGTGTCTGTGTCATTGGTGATGCTAATGCGCATGCATACAAGTCCTTTGGTTGCTCTCTAATCCCCACCCCCTCCCCTTCCATTTGTCTCTGGATCTATTCTTGTCCATCCAATTATGTTGATCATTATATCCCGCATATGAGTGAGATCATGTGATATTGATCTTTCACTGCCTGGCTTATTTCACTTAGCATAATGCTCTCCAGTTCCATCCATGCTGTTGCAAATGGTAAAAGTTCCTTCTTCCATTGTGTGTAGATGTACCACAGTTTTTTTTTTCTTTTTCTTTTTTTTCTCCCGCCCTTGACAATCCCCTGGTGTACCACAGTTTTTTAATCCACTCATCTGCTGATGGGCACTTAGGCTGTTTCCAGATCTTCGCTATGGTGAATTGTGCTGCTATGAACATAGGGGAGCATATATCCTTTCTGATTGGTGTTTCTAGTTTCTTGGGATATATTCCTAGAAGTGGGCTCACTGGGTCAAATGGGAGTTCCATTTTTAGTTTTTTGAGGAAACTCCATACTGTTCTCCACAGTGGCTGCACCAGTCTGCATTCCCACCAGCAGTGCAGAAGGGTTCCTTTTTCTCCACATCCTCTCCAACACTTGGCGTTTGTTGATTGTTGATGATAGCCATTCTGACAGGTTTGAGATGGTACCGCATTGTTGTTTTGGTCATGGCTTTATTGAGGCATAGTTCCCATGTCATACAATTCACCCATTTCAAGGTGTAGAATTCAATGTGTTTTTTGTTTGTTTGTTTTGTTTTTACTACATTTGCAGGCTTGTGTGGTATCTTCACAATCCATTTTACTATTTTTTTATTTTTTATAAAATATATCTTTATGGATTTCAGAGAGGAAGGGAGAGGGAGAGAGAGATAGAAACATCAATGATGGGAGAGAATCATTTATTTTTTGTAATATACAGCTCTTACTTCCACCCATTTTTTTTGTTACTGCTCATCTGAGGATATTTTTTTCCATTGATTTTTAGGGAGGGTGGAAGGGGGAAAGGGAAGGTGGAAGGGATGGAGTGAGGGAGTGAGGGAGGGATGGAGGGAAGGAGAGAGAGAGAAAGAGAGAGAGAGAAAGAGAGACATCTATGAGAGAGAGGCACATCAGTTGGTGGAGATCTACTACCTGCAATCCAGGTACGTGCCCTTGACGGGAATCAAACCCACAACTCCTCAGTACGCAGGCCAACGCTTTAGCCACTGAGCAACCGGCCAAGACTGTCATACATTTTTATATTTTTGTGTATTTCTCTCTCTCTTTTTTTTGAACAAGCAATGCATTGAGCAATGAGCTACTGGCCACCTGCCTTCTGATGACCCAACCTCAGCCAGCACTCTGACCCCATCTGTCTGGTTCACAGATGGACATCCTGCACCAGGCAAACATCCCAGGATTCAAAGAGACATTGGCTAGACGGCTGGCGGACAGGAAGAAAGACATTCCCATGTAGGGAGTTCCTGAGAAAGTGGGAAGTGGGAAGTGGGAAGTTTCCCATCCCACTCATGACCCGGCACACCCACTGACTCAGGAGCGGAACCCGGAACCTGGTCCCCTCCAGGGAGAGGTCATGGCTGGCAGGCTCAAGCTCCGGGCAGAGAGCACCACGGGTCTGCCCTCCATTGTCTGCGGGGGACACGGGAGCCCTCGGGTGCACGCACAGGGAGGGAGCTGCTCGCCCTCCTCCGAGCCCAGGCATGGGAACGCCGCCCTCTGGCCACATCCTGTGGGTCAGTCTGCTCTGCCAGGCTGCCTGGTTCTGTCCCTCTGCACAGCCTTGTCCGGTGGGAGGCGGTGCCATGACTGCCACCTCTACGGCCTTTCTCTGCCTTGGTGAGTTCTGGGGAGGACAGGGATGAACACCCCCTGGGGAGGCCATCTCTTGAAAGATCCCATGAAAGATCCCATGATCTGGCCCTAGCCGGTGTGGCTCAGTGGCTAGAGTGTCAGCCTGTGGACAAAGGGTCCCAGGTTCAATTCCCATCAAGGGCACGTACCTCGGTTGCAGGCTCCTCCCAGGCCCAGACCCTGGTCAGGGCTCATGCAGGAGGCAACCAATCAATGTGTTTCTCTCACATCGATGTTTCTCTCTGTCTTTCCCTCTCTCTCCCACTCTCCCTAAAAATCAATGGAAAAATATCCTTGGGTGAGGATTAAAAAAAAAAATCCCATGAGCTGGAAGGCTCGGGGAAGGGGCTTCTGCTCAGGAATCGGGGGTCTTACTTGGATCTCTCCTCCAGGGCTGTGTCTGGGCCGGAAGGTCTACAGGACTAGAGGTGAGTCCACCCCCTGGCATCCCAGGTCCTGCCTCCTCCCCGGGGGCAATGTGGGACCCGTCCCGGGGCATCTGGGGGATGGAAGGAGGAGTGGAACTCTGAGCTGATGAACAGGGCACATGCATGAGGAGCCCGGAGGCCGATCGCTGGTGGAGGGGGAAAACTGAGGCATGGAGCATAAGGGGGCCGCAACTTCTGACTCTCTTCTAGAGCCCCTGCCCAAACCTACCATCTGGGCGGCGCCAAGCGCTGTCATCACTGCGGGGAGGCCCGTGAGCATCTGGTGTCACGGGTCTCGGAAGGCGGACCGGTACCACCTGTACCAGAAGTGGGCCCCAGGGTCCTGGAGAAGTGCATTCCCACAGGGACCCAGAGACAAGGCCGAGTTCCCCATCCCACTCATGACCCAAGGCCTCGCTGGGAGGTACCACTGCACGTATGAGAGCCGAAGAGCCTCGTCCGCTCCCAGCGAGCCTCTGGACCTGGTGGTTACAGGTGAGCAGACACTTCCTCGGGCACAGGTGAGGGGCGGTGCCCGGGAGGGACCATTCTTCCCTCCATCCTCTCCTTCCGTTGTTGTTGTTTTAGAAAAGCAAGTGAAAATTTATTGATCACACACGTAGGACAGTGAAACAGGGAAGGGCATAGAAGAAGCAACAGGAGAGCCCAGGCTGGGCTGCCTTGGCTCACTGGGAAGTCAGAGAAAAGGGGCCTCAGGGTTCAGGGGGTTGGTTAGCCTGGGATGAGCTGCCACTGCCCACTGCTCCCCTGGTTGCAAGTCTTGGGGGGTCCCTTGCCATTTAGGAGATACATGCCTGTGTGGGAAGGACAGGAGGAAGGGAATGACATGGGAGAACTCCTGTTTTGTTTTTTTTAAAAATATTTTTATCGATTACAGAGAGGAAGGGAGAGGGAGAGAGAGAGAGATAGAAACATCAATGATGAGAGGGAATCATTGATGGGCTGCCTCCTGCACACTCCCTAATGGTGATCAAGCCCATAACCCGGGCATGTGCCCTTGACCAAAATCAAACTCAGGACCCTTCAGTCCGCAGGCTGACGCTCTATCCACTGAGCCAAACCAGCTAGGGCACACTTCACTCTTTCGGTGCGTCATAGCAGTGGGATCATGCAGCATTTGTCTTTCTGTCACTGGCCCATGTCACTTAGTATAATGTCCTCAAGCACCCTCTCTTCTTTTTAAAAAAAACATACTTAAAAAAATTTCAGAAAGGAAGGGAGAGAGGTCAAACATCATTGATGAGAGAGAATCATTGATCAGCTGTCTCCTGCATGCCCCACAGGGGATCGAGCCCGCAACCCAGGCATGTGCCCTTGACAGACATCGAACCTGGGACCCTTCAGTCCGCAGGCCTATGAGCTATCCACTGATCCAAACGGGCTAGGGCAGCACCCTCTCCTCTTTTAACAGTTCCCTCTTGTTCTTTCCCAGGAATGTTTGACCCACCCACCCTCTCCGCCTTGCCAAGACCCGTCGTGACCTCCGGAGGGAGCGTGACCCTGCAGTGTGGCTCATGGCAGGGGTTTGACTGGTTTTATCTGTGTGACAAAGGACGGCATGACCACTACCAACGTCTGGACTCACAGCCCCGAGAAGACGGGTGGTTCCAGGCCCTCTTTACCGTGGGCCCCGTGAGACCAACTCACTGGTGGACATACAGGTGCTACGGTGTCTTCTCAGGTTCTCCTCATGCGTGGTCTTCCTCGAGCAGCCTCGTGGAGCTTCTGATCTCGGGTGAGAAAGTCTTGGCATTGCCCCCAGAATCCCCTGGGTCTCCAGGCAGGTGGGGAGGAGTCTGGTCCCAGGCTCCAGGAGCTGGTGGTGGCACAGAAGACTCTGCCATGGAGAGGCCGCGGGCAGAGGGGAGTGCAGAGAGCCGAACCCTCTTACAAACACGACCACCTTTTTTTGCCAGGTGATTCTAGGAAACCGTCCCTCTCAGTCCTGCCAGGCCCCGTGGTGGCCCCTGGAGACACCCTGACCCTACGATGTCAGTCTGATGTCAACTATGACAGATTCGCTCTCTTCAAAATGGGGGAACATGACCTCCACCAGCAATGTGGCTGGCAGCCCCAGGCTGGGCTCTCTCAGGCGGACTTCTCCCTGGGCCCGGTGAGTGGCTACCACGGGGGCCGGTACAGATGCTACGGTGGATACAACCTCTCCTCTGAGTGGTCAACCCCCAGTGACCCCGTGGACATCCAGGTGACAGGTAAGGTGCCCGTCCCCAGCTCACACGCAGACTCGGCATCCTGTTGGCAATGGAGGGCGGTGAGCACAGACAAGAAGAGAGGATGGGGTGAGGGATGGGAAGATCTTAGAACAATGGGAACAGAAGGAGCAATGGAACACCCTTTAGTGGAGGCCCTGAGTGGCATCTCTGCTGAGGTCCAGGGAAGGGGGAACGAGGAAGGAGTTTGCACTAACACCGTGGACGTGTCTCTCCCAGCCTTACTCCCTCAGGACACGCTTCCCGCTCTGTCAGCCCAGCCGGGCTCCACAGTGGCCCTAGGAGAGAATGTGACCCTGCGGTGTCAGACTGGGAGTCTGTTTGACACGTTCCTCCTGTTCAAGGAAGGGGACGTTGGTCCTCCTCTGCACCTCAAGTCTCGGTACCAAGACGGGGTGTTTCAGGCAAACTTCCCCATGAGTCCCGTGACCCTGGACCACGGGGGCACTTACAGGTGCTACGGGTCACTCAGCGGCACCCCCGTTCAGTTGTCGCGTCCCAGCAACCCCTTGGAGCTCAAGGTGGAAGGTGAGGAGCTGTCCATGGTGTCTTCCTTCCTTCCCACGACATTTCATCCATCCTGGTGTCTGGACCACCTCCCCCAATGAACTACATCTGTCCGTCTTTCCCTCCTCTGCCCTCTTCAGAGTCCAGGCACCACTGTCTCCGGCTGGGCTTTCATTCTGATGCATCAGCATCAGAAAAGACAAATAGGTCTTTCTTTATTTTTCCTCTTCTTGTTCTTCTTGCTCTTCTTCTTGTTCTTCTTCTCCTTCTCCTTCTTCTTTTTTGGTTAATTCTCACCCAAGGATATTTTCCCATTGATCTTTTAAAGAAAGTGGAAGAGACGCCGAAACTGGTTTGGCTCAGTGGATAGAGCGTCGGCCTGCGGACTGAAAGGTCCCAGGTTCGATTCCGGTCAAGGGCATGTACCTGGGTTGCGGGCACATCCCCAGTGGGAGATGTGCAGGAGGCAGCTGATCGATGTTTCTCTCTCATCGATGTTTCTAACTCTCTATCTCTCTCCCTTCCTCTCTGTCAAGAATCAATAAAATATATTTAAAAAAAAAGAAAGTGGAAGAGAGAGGGAAAGACAGAGAGAAACATCGATGTGAGAGAAGCACATTGATTTTTGGAGAGAATGGAAGGAAAGGAGGGGGAGAGAGACACACATTGATGTGAGAGAGATACATAGATTGATTGCCTCCTGCATACACCCCAACCAGAGCCTGGAATTGAACCCCCAACCCTTCAGTGTGTGGGTCAATTCTCCAACCACTGAAGGACATCAGCCAAGACATAAACTGGTCTACATTTTAAAAATGAATTAATGCATGCTAAAGAATGATCTGGTATCAGTACATATGAATCCACTGTAGACTTTTCAGTGGCTGTATAGGACTCCTGTGCTTGAAGCTATCACCTTATCCAACACCCTAAAATTTGGTGTTTTGTTTGTTTCCAACCATTTTATATTTCAAACCACCCTTCAATGAATATCCCCATACATACCTAAAGCACAGATGTAGGTGGAAACAACTACCCCTTACGTCGTGGTTAAATTTTTAGAATGAAATAGCTTAGGCAGAGGACATGGACACTTACTATGCATGTATATTTTATACATATATGTCCATTCATTATACACATATTATTTACATATTTACTATATAAATATATAATATATCACATGAAATACATATGTAATATATGACACACATATATGTATATACATCCATACATAAATCTATTTCTACAAAGTCCATGACTATTTGGAGAATGAATGAATGCATGAAATAACAAAAGAAAAGCACTGCAGACTCAGGAGTAAGGTCAACTGGCTGAGGTTGGGCAAAGACTAGCACAGCCTCAGGTTTCCACTCATGTTTATTTCTGACCCTCAGGAACCCCTGGACACCCACCTCTCATCCATGGATCCAGGACCTTCATCGAAGGATGAACTCCAATGTTCATGAGATCAAGTTTAGCTTGGGCTATTGCTCCAGACAGATAAGAGACCAAGAAAAAGCTAAACTTCAACAGTTTTTGAACATGTCCACTCTAAGCTGGTGGCATAGGGTGTGACCAAATCCCACCACCTCTTTTTTAAAGACCCCAAACCTAAGTCTAAGTGTGAGGAAATCAGAGACACTAGGGTTGCCCCCTCAGCTATAGTTGTACAAGGCATCATCATGAATGTAGATAAAACATGTTTGTGAGTAGGGAGGTGTAATAAGGTAGATTCTGAGTCCATGATGGGCTGAAAGGCTTTCAGCTATTCACCCTCTCTGACTTTCTGATTCTCAGGGGATCCTGTTAATATCATCCCATCAGTGCAAACCCCAAATTCCACAAGTGGTAAGTAACCACACGTTTACCTTGGGGACTAGGAAGTTCCATGGACGAGGGCCTACACATCTGTTCTGGGTGCTGATTTGAGTATGACCCGCCTTACCCTCCATGACCACTTTCTCCCATTGTCCCCAGGACCCCAGGTCCCAGACTACACAGTGGAGAATCACATTGCTATGGGCCTGTCTGGATTGATCCTGGTGGTACTAGGTGTGTTGGTGTTTCAGGCGTGGTACAGCGAGAGAAGGTCCCCAGGGGTAAACTGAAGATGGAGCACACCCATTCCTCAGGAATTGTGACACAACCTGAGACCCAAACCACAGAGGCAAGGTTGTGATGGCAAAGAAGGTACTGAAAGCTGGAGCCACAGGCTGTGTGAACTCTGTGCTGAGGACCTAAAGGAAATGAAACAGTATTGTTAGTGCCTGAGGCGATGACAGTGGCTGGGAATATTCCTTGTGGGAGACTCCTCCACCATGAACCTTGCCCTTGCATTTCCCTCTCCTGTTTGGCTACTCTTATTCCCCCATCTCAATGACCCAATGCTACGTCCACATGAAGAGATTCTGTTCATAACTCCACTCTGTCTCATGCTTGTTCCTACACTGTATTGCACATTATTTATCACATCTGCATTCCCTGGTGTGATCTGCTCTGTGCCTTGAGCTCTAAGTGCAGAGACTCTGGTAATGTGGTTGAGTAACGAGATCAATGAAGTAATATTTACATCCAGCCCAGAGGGTGCACGCTGAGAATGCCACCCCAGGACCCTGTCTGGATTCTGCAGGTTCCTTTCTCTTCACCTGGTGCTTCTCGTGTGGCTCCTCCCACAACATCAGTGCTTGGAATCCACACTCTCCTGCGTGGCCTCATGCAAGTGACAGCTCGTCTGTGAGCCTCTCTTGCCTTCCTGTGAAGCTGGTAGCCATGATGGCTCCTTTGTCGCTGTGGTGCCAATGAAATGAGATTGTGAATTGCAGGACAATAAGCACATGTTTGTTTGTTGTTCCTATTTGTTTTCATTTTGATATTGACTGCTGGAGAGAGGATCGAGAAAGTAGCATCTCACACACTGCTGGCATGTGTACAAATTGCTTCAGCCAATTTGGGGAATTTTCTATTTTAGGGAAAGTGATTTCCAGCTGTGATCATCATCATCATCATCATATGCCCTTCATGATCATTATTATCATCATCACCATCACTTTAATCATCACTATAACCATTATGATGATGATGATGATGGTCATCATCATCACTAGTAGCCCGGTGCACAAAATTTGTGCACATTAAAAGGGAATTAATTAGAGGAAATATTTTAATATTGTTACTTGCCCTTTCTCTATAATGGAAGTGTCTGGCCGGCCCCACCCCCATTGGGTGACACCAAGAAGTGGCTGGCCCCCTTCCCATCAAGTGCCACCGGGTGGGGCACGCATCCTCACATCCTGGTGCAGGGGTCGGGGGCACGGCCTCGGGTCTCCCAGCCCAGCATTGGGGCAGGGGGCACAGCCTCAGGTCCTCTGCCCCGGCCCTGCAACACATAGCCTTAGGTCCTGGCTGATCAATGTTATGGTGTGATGGCCATTTGCATATTAGCTTTTTATTATGATGATCAGTATCATTAGTATCATCATCAATATCACAATCATCATCATCACCATTACCACAAACATCATCACCATAACTATCACCATCATCACCATGATCATCACTGTCATCTCCATCATTATCACCGTTACAACCATCATTGTCAACAAGGCTATATACATCATCACCACCATCCTTTTCATCACCATTACAATGATTATCATCAACAATATCACCCTCACCATCATCATCATCCTCACCATCATCAACACCACTATCATCATTGCCCTCATCATCTTTATCACCATCACCTTCACCTTCACCATCACCATCACTATCATTGTTATCACGATATCATCATTACTATCCTCACCCTCACCATCATCATCAGTGTCACCATCATCATCATCACCATCATCATCATCACCTCCACTATCATCATCATCACATGACCATCAACATTCTGTCAATGTCCCATATCATCTAACTGACATTGATCCTCCCTCTCCTCTCTTGGAGTAGGAGCCACAGCTTGAGGAATTCTGGCTCCTATCTTAGAAAGACAAACAACAATGTACCTTTCCTGTCATTCTTGTAGGGGTGGAGGCATTTAGACTTTAGGATACATGTTTTCTCTTATCTGGCTTCATAAATACTACAGCTATCCTCTCGTGGCTTGGCACCCATATTTCCTGGGTGACTGAAGGCAGAGTGGGTATGGTGGCAATAAACCTAATTAAATAGCCACAAGGTAAAATAGGCACAGAGTGAAATGGTTCAATCTCTACATTTGGTTTAATCCCTGCTTCCTCTTTCCTCTCTCATCTTTTGCTTCAGTCTGAAATTAGGAGAACACAACTGAACCATGATTAATCACCATCTACAGCAGACCACAGTTCCAGATCTTTCCAGGCAATGCCCATGAAAATGAATCCCAATAAATCCAGTACAATTTTTTTTTAAAAAAAGTTAAACAATCACAGTACCTAACACAGTAGTTCTCTAATGGTAGAAACTACATCTGGGCCATCTGAGGTGGCTGAGTGAGTGAGACAGAACAAGAATTGAGCATTAGTTACCTCCCTGGACCTTCCTGGATAGATGCAGAGAGTTCAGGTACCTACGGCCTGGAGTGGACAGAGTGAGCTATGATGTGGGAGGAAGCATGTGAGAATTTTCTGGAGGCCCAAGGGAAAGAAAGGGTCATAACCTGCCCTAACAAGTCATCCGATTTCATCAACTTTCATAGAAACTTCTGGAAATTCTGCCCTGGAGGGAGAGTTTATTCTTATTGATTTGTACCTTTGGAGTACTATTGTGTAGTATTACAAGTTATCCAAGTTAGACACATCTTTTCAATTCCTGCACTTTCACAAAGCTTTCTTGCTCTCTATGAATTAGGAAACCAGGCCTGTTGTCAAGAAAAAAGGTGGAGAGTATTATCAGACTTAGAATAGACTGTGGCCATTTTTGAGTGAATTTTTGGCTATGCAAGAACCTGCCCTCACATGTATGATAGCTGTACTCCTCTGATGGGGGTATTGCATGGAAAATAGGGAGGGAGAGGCAGGATGAGGCATTTCTTTGAAGGCCTTGAATACCAGGGAGAATTTGAATGTGCATATCTTGGGGAACTGAGCAAACACAGGCTGTGGGCGAGGAGGAATGTGTCCGTAAGTGAGAGCAGAGGCACAAAAAGGGAAGTTGACTGGAAATCCCTTAGAGACTCAATGACCAAAGTCACCCAACAGCAAAAAAGATCAAATAAGTAATTGATGTACAATTAATTTATAGTAACCAACAGCTTTTATATGCACCAATAAGTCCAAACCTCACCTTGAATGTCAACAACTACGAAAAGGAAAATTGTAAGCAATAAATGTGATAAGAATGGGGTCAAATTTACATGCATAGACACTTTCAAACATGTCTGAATGGCACAAGGACTCATATTGGTGAAGAGATGGGGGGTCATTAGACACAATGGCTGAGCATCATAAAGACATCATTTCTCCACAGGTTAATTGATAAATGCACGTCTGTTCCCAAATACAGCAAGAACTACACGAGGTGACACGAAAGTCTATATGGAAAAGGAAAAACCAAAGAAAAGCTAGGAAAACACCAACACAGCACAGCTGTGGGGGTAGAGGAGGACTAGCTCAAGCAGTGCTGAGGAGACGTGTGCGCCCAGGAGAGCAGTGGACAGAGGGATGTGACTGCTGGCTCTGAAGATGGAAGAGGATGCGGGGGTTTGGGATATGGGCAGCGTGTGAAGCTTAAAAGACAAAGAATCCCATTCTGACTCCTGAATGGAAAGATGACAATTCTGTGTTGCTTTAACCCATGAAACATATGGGTATTTGTTATAGCAGCAACAGGAAACTAATACTCTCTTTCTCCATCTCGTTCTCTCTCTCTCTCTCTCTCTCTCTCTCTCTCTCTCTCTCTCTCTCTCTCATTTTTGGAGCTGGTGATACAGTTTTTCTCTATTTTGGCTAATCTGAGATTTGCAAGCTCAGAGTTGGAATCTGTATGGTTCAGTGGTATATTCTTGGTCCAGGCACATGACAAATCCTCAAGGAATAAGGGTGGATGCTTGGGTCAAAGAGGAGTTCAGGCCAGTGAGGCAGAAGCTTATGGATGAAATGGGGCCTGAGACGGGGTCAGAAATGTCTGCAGAAGCCTGTTGCCCGCCCAGGCCTCAGCCCTGAGGAAATGAAAGCCAGGCTCCCCGGGAGGGGCTGTTCCCTTTCCTGGGGCTGCTGACGTGACAGCCACATGATGGGGCGGACCAGCCTCCTAGGGGGCAACACCCTGTGTGTCTCTCTCTCCTGATGGCCCTGTGGTCTCCTCTATCTGGACAACCAGGAGCAGAGAGAGGAGACGCCATGACCTCTACCCTCAGGGCCCTGCTCTGCCTTGGTGAGATGGGAGGAGAGGGAGGGGAAGCCCTGATATGGGGAGGGGAAGTCCTGATTGCACCACAGCCAGACCCTGGCCAATCAGGACCTCAGGACTCAGGAGGTGCATGAGGATAAGGATTCTGCTCAGGATTCAGGGCAAATCTCTCACAGGGACTCTCTTCCAGGGCTGAGTGTGGGCCTCAGGACCCCAGTGCAGGCAGGTGAGTCCATCCCTAGGTGTCCCAGGTCCCATTCCTTATAGGGGATTCGAGGCCACAAGTTAGGCAGCTGGGGATGGAGAAAAGCAGATTGGGGTTAATGGATGGGGGACATCTCTGAGTTTTGAAGCTGAGAGCTAGGAACTGGGAGTGGGAGAATGTCTTCATTTTGTTTTTTAGAGCTGAAAGCATTAGTACTTTTATTTTTTTTAAGAGCTGAAATGATAAAACTTTTATGTATTTATTTTTAATAAATTTATCTTTGTTGTTGAAATTATTACAGATGTCTCCCTTTCCCTCCCCACATGGACCCCCTCATCTCGGGCCCATCCCAGGCCTTCTCCGAGCTATTGGGCAATGTCTTCTGACCCTGGCACTGGTTTCCTTCCTGGGACCCTCCCCAAACCCATCATCTGGGCTGAGCCAGGCTCTGTGATCCCAGCGGGAAGCCCAGTGACCATCTGGTGTCAGGCGGCCATGGAGGTCAAGGAGTTTTGTCTGGATAAAGAGAGGAGCCCAGAGCCCTGGGAGAGAAAATCCCCAGGGAAGCCCGGGGACAAAGCCAAGTTCCGAGTCGCACACATGACACAGCATTATGCAGGGGTCTATTCCTGTCACTACCACAGCCCTGCTGGCTGGTCAGAGCGGAGTGACCCCCTGGAGCTCCTGGTCTCAGGTAAGTCCCATTGTTGTCTCTTACATGGATTGAGGCACCAGATAAATTATTGGCATCTTTGCTGTGAGGGGAGCCCAAGGGGGAAAATTGGGAGAGGAGACACAAAGGTTTTTGAGCCAGAGACACCCATACAGAGACAGTGAGACCTGGGAGCCAAGATGGGAGAAAGGGGTTTATGAGAGGAGCAGCCCCTGCAATTCACGTCTGTTCTCCCCAGGTGAGTCTGGGAAGCCCTCCCTCCTGACCCAGCAGGGCCCCATCGTGGCCTCTGGACAGAGCCTGACCCTCCAGTGTCGCTCTGATGTCGGCTATGACAGATTCGTTCTGTCCAAGGAGGGGGGATGGGACCTCCCCCAGAGTCTTGTCCTGCAGCCCCACGCTGGGCTCTGTCAGGCCCACTTCCCCCTGGACACTGTGAGCAGCTCCCACGGGGGCCAGTACAGATGCTATGGTGGATACAACCTCTCCTCTGAGTGGTCAGCCCCCAGTGACCCCCTGGACATCCTGGTTGGCAAGCGAGGAGCTAGGGTTTTCAGCCAGGCACCTAGAATCTGCACAGGCCCTGCTGGAGGGTTCTCAGGTGGTGAGGCCAGAATGAAGGTTCAGGCTCCAAGGAGGGAGAGAGACTGAGAGAGAGAGATAGGAGGTGGGAGGGGAGATGGGAGACTCAGAGACATTAGAGACAGACAGAAGGGTGGGTCCTCAGAGAGAGGCCTGGTAACTCTCAGCTCAGAACAAGGTGGGCAGGCAGCCCTCACCCTCCCTCCCTCTCTCTAGGAAAACTGCCTGACAGACCCTCCCTCTCGGTGCAGCCAGGCCCTAGGGTGGCCTCAGGAGAGAATGTGACCCTGCTGTGTCAGTCACAGAGCCCCACGGACACATTCCTTCTGTCCAAGGAGGGGGCAGCCGATCCCCCTCTGCATCTGAGATCAAAGCACCGAGCTCAGCAGTACCAGGCAGAGTTCTCCATGAGTCCTATGACCTCAACCAACGGGGGCACCTACAGGTGCTACAGCTCACACAGCACCTCCCCCTACCTGCTGTCACTCCCCAGTGAGCCCCTGGAGCTCCTGGTCTCAGGTGAGGAACCCCTGACCCTGTCTTTCTGTATTATATCATGCATGTGTCTTGTATACATATATGTATATTATACATGTATTACTTATAAAAAATATAACTTATGTAAATACACATATATAATATACACAATACACGTATATGTGTATACATCCATCCATACATGAATCTATCTATTTCTAGATAGTCCATAACTATTTGGAGAGTGAATGAAAGAATATATGAAATAACAAAAGAAAATCAATTGAAGGTTCTCTCTGCAGACTCAGTAGAACGGTGAACTGGTGAGATTGGGCAAAGACTAGTACAGCCCCAGGTTTCCATTCCTATTTGTTTCTGACCCTCAGGATCCCCTGGACACTGACCTCTCATCCATGAATCCGGGACCTTCATCTGAGTATGAATCAAAGACTAATTTTCAGAAGGTCAAGTTTAGCTTGGGCTATTGCTCCAGACCAAAAAGAGACCAACCGAAATATAAACTGCAACTGTTTTTGAACATGTTCACTGTAATCTTGTGGCACAGGGTGTTTCCTAACCCCCGCCCCCCCTTTTTTAAGACCCAAAAGCTAAGTGTAAGTGTGAGGAAATCAGAGACACTAGACTTGCCCCCTCACCTATATGAGATGTTTGTATGAGATGTTTGTGAGTAGGGAGATATAATAAGGTAGATCCTGAGTCTATGCTGGGCATAGTCTATGGTTTCAGCTCCTCACCCTCTCTGGTTTTTTAATTCTCAGGGGATCCTGTTAATATCACCCCATCAGTGCAAACCCCAAATTCCACAAGTGGTAAGTAACCACACATGTTTACCTTGGGGACTGGAAAGTTCCATGGATGGGGGTGGGGGGGCTACACATCTGTTCTGGGTGCTGTGTTGAGTGCGACCCACCTTACCCTCCATGACCACTTTCTCCCATTGTCCCCAGGACCCCAGGTCCCAGACTACACAGTGGAGAATCACATTGCTATGGGCCTGTCTGGATTGATCCTGGTGGTACTAGGTGTGTTGGTGTTTCAGGCGTGGTACAGCGAGAGAAGGTCCCCAGGGGTAAACTGAAGATGGAGCACACCCATTCCTCAGGAATTGTGACACAACCTGAGACCCAAACCACAGGCAAGGTTGTGATGGCAAAGAAGGTACTGAAAGCTGGAGCCACAGGCTGTGTGAACTCTGTGCTGAGGACCTAAAGGAAATGAAACAGTATTGTTAGTGCCTGAGGCGATGACAGTGGCTGGGAATATTCCTTGTGGGAGACTCCTCCACCATGAACCTTGCCCTTGCATTTCCCTCTCCTGTTTGGCTACTCTTATTCCCCATCTTAATGACCCAATGCTACGTCCCTATGAAGAGATTATGTTCATAACTCCACATGAAGAGATTATGTCATAACTCCACTCTGTCTCATGCTTGTTCCTACAACTGTATTGCACATGTCTTCTTGATCACACCAGCATTCCCTGGCGTGAGTTGCTCTGTGCCTTGAGCTCTAAGTGCAGAGACTCAGGTAACATGGCTGAGTAACTAAATCAATGAACTAATATTTATATCCAGCCCGGAGGGTGCACGCTGAGAATGCCACCCCAGAACGCTGTCTGGGTTCTGCTGGTTCCTTTCTCTTCACCTGGTGCTTCTCGTGTGGCTCCTCCCACCACATCAGCACTTGGAATCCACACTTTCCTCCATGGCCTCAAGTGACAGCCCTCTCTTGCCTTCCTTTGAAGCTGGTAACGATGATGGGTTGTGGCTGTGGTGCTAATGAAATGAGATTGTGAATTGTAGGACAATAAACACATGTTTGTTTGTTGTTGCTATTTGTTTTCTTTTTGATATTAACTGTTGGAGAGAGGATCGAGCAAGTAGTGTCTCACACACTATTGGCAAGTGCACAAATTGTTTCCTGCCAATTTGGGGAATTTTCTGTTTTAGAGAGAGTGATTTTCAGTTATGATCATCATCATCATCATGACCTTCATGATCATCATCCCATCATTATCATCATCACCATCACTATAACCATTATGAGCATCACCATTACCACCATCATTACTATAAACATGATCATCATCATAGTCATCACCATAACTATCACCATCGTCACCATACTCATCACCATGATCATCTCCATCATCACCATCACTATTCCCACCATCATTGTCAGCATAGCTATAACCATCATCACCAAAACCCTTTTCATCACCATCACTATGATTATCATCTTCATTATCATCAACATCATCATCATGCCATAATCGCCATCACCACCATCCTCTCCATCATCAACATCACTGTTATCATAACCATCATCACCACCATCATCATCATCATCACTATATCATTATCACCATCACCATCATCATTATCACAGCTCTCCTCCTCATCATCACCGACACTATCATCATTATCATGACATCACCATCTCCATCACTGTTTTTTATCATTGTCATTATCCTCACCATCACTATCATCATCATCACCGTCACCAACATCATCATCATCACTATCACCCTCATTATCATTACCATCACCATCACAAGTACCATCATTATCATCATTACCATCATCATCACCATCATCATCAGCTTCATCACCAACACAATCATCATTATCATATCATCACCAACATATTACCCTCAACACCATCATCAATATCACCATCATCTTCATCACCTTCATATTGCCCTCACCACCATCATCAATGTCACCACCATCTTCATCACCTTCATTATCACCATCATCATCATCATCACTACCACCACCACCAACACTGTCATCATTATTATAACATCATCATCATGATCATCATCATCTCCATCATCACTATCATCAATGTCACCATTATCACCATCATCTTCATTACCATCACATCATCATCATTGCCCTCATCAGCATTATCACCATTACTATTGCTATCATTGTTATCATGATATCATCATTGGCATCATCATCACTATCCTCGCCCTCACCATCATCATCACCACCACCACCACTATCATCATCACCACATGACCATCATCATGATTGCCTTCATCATCATCATCATTATAACCAACACTATGATCATTATCATGACATCCTCATCATCCTCATCACCCATATTATCACTATGTTTTTTAAAAAAATATATTTTTATTGATTTCAGAGAGGAAGGAAGAGGGAGAAAGAGATAGAAACATCCATGATGAGAGAGAATCATAGATCAGCTGCCTCCTTTAAGTCCCCCACTGGGGATCGAGCCCATAACCCGGGCATGTACCCTTGACCTGATTCGAACCTGGGACCTTCCAGTTCGCAGGCTGACGCTCTATCCACTGAGCCAAACAGGCTAGGGCTATCACTATGTTTTAATCAATACTTCCATCTCCTTGTGCTGGAAGTAAATAAAAACCACATATATGTTGGAAATAAACAAAATTCTCTTTTCTTCCTTCCAAGTTCAAAAACTCTTTATTTTTAAAATGTTAAATATATTTTTTATCTTCCAACACAGTTGATGTACAGTATTACCTTAGTTTCAGGAGTACAACCCAGTGATTTGACATTTATATAACTTACAAAGTGGTCACCCTGATAAATATAGTACCCATCTGACATCATACATAGTTATTACAATATTACTGATTATAATCTCTATGCTGTACTGTACATCCCCATGAGTATTTTGTAACTAAAAATTTGTGATTCTTAATCCCTTCCATTTTCTTTTGTTTTATTAATCCTCACCTGAGGATATTTTTTCCATTGATTTTTACAGAGAGTTGAAGGGATGGGAGAGAGAGAGAGAGAGAGAGAGAGAGAGAGAGAGAGAGAGAGAGAGAGAAAAAAGAAGA